GGAGATGGAGATGGAGATGAAGCAGCAGGGGACAAGGAGATGGAGATGGAGATGAAGCAGCAGGGGACAAGGAGATGGAGATGGAGATGGAGATGCAGCTGGAGATGGAGACGGAGATGGAGATGGAGATAGAGATGGAGATGGGGATGGAGATGGAGATGGAGATGAAGCAGCAGGGGAGATGGAGATGGAGATGGAGATGGAGATGGAGATGGAGATGCAGCTGAAAATGGAGATGGAGATGGAGATGGAGATGGAGATGGAGATGGAGATGGAGCAGAAGGGGACAAGGAGATGGAGATGGAGCTGCTCGGAAGGGGTCAACGCATGCGAGAAGGAAAGCAGGAGGAAGTGGAGGAGCAGAGGGCTACGTAAATGGGGAAGTTGACAATGTAYCATCATCATCATCATCGACATCGTCATCGTTGGTGTCAGCCGTTTGCCCCCTATTTTGTAGACAGTGCTTTCCTCTAAGCACGCACAGAGAGAGACAGAGACAGAGAGAGAGGGAGTCTCACACACACACACACACACACACACACACACACACACACACACAGAGAGAGAGAGAGAGAGAGTCTGAACTACCGGTCTTCAGACTTCTGGTAAGAAAATCATTGGACAGTTTATCCGGGTACAACCAACAGGTCATAGCACTTCGAGATGTCGTGCARTCGTTGGTCCTCGATGTGATAAGTGATCTCCACTCCTCCTCCTCCTCCTCCTTCTCCTCCTCCTCCTCCTCCTACATGACATCTCCTTCTTCTCCTCCTCGTCCCCTCCCTCCTCCTAGGCATTATCATCATCGTCATCGCTGTACGCCGTTTGTCGTCATCCTCGATCGTCATGATGATCATCATCCCTACACCTTCTCCTCCTCTCCCTACTCATCCGAACAAACTCATCACCATATTACCCTCATCACAGCCGTTCTGGACCTCCTCCTCCTCCTCCCCTCCTCCTCCCCTCCTCYTGTTGCTCCTCCTCCTTCCTCGTTTTATAGCCATCAGCATCACCACCAAAGCTTCCTCCTCCTCCTGTTGCTCCTCCTCCTCCTCCTGTTGCTCCTCCTCCCTCCTCCTCCTCCTCCTCCTCCTCCTCCTCCTGTTGCTCCTCCTGCTTCCTCGTTTTATAGCCATCAGCATCACCACCAAAACTCCACACGACACCCTGCTCGTCCACGTCATTAGGTCCTCTATATCTGAACCATCTCATCATCTTCATGAATCGACCTTTCCTCCTTCCTCCTCCTTCCTCCTCCTTCCTCCTCCTTCCCTCCTCCTTCCCTCCTCCTTCCCCCTCCTTCCTCCTTCTCCTTCCTCCTCCTTCCTCCTCCTTCCTCCTCCTTCCTCCTCCTTCCCGCCTCCTTGCTCCTCCTCCTTCCTCCTCATGTCTCCTGATGGAGGCCTTTTTTTTTTTTTTTTTTTTTTTCCAAGCATCGGCAATGGAGATGCAAATCATCACGATGATGGAGTGCTCAGCATTCCATCATCGAGATCGATCAAGGACCCTCGGTTCTTCTTTCACAAAATCTTCTCGTCTCTATCACACTCCCTTCCCTTCCTCCGTCCCCTCCCCCCCCCCCCCCCCCCCTTTTGTTC